TTAGTTTCTCATTTTCTATCTACCCTTCGGTACCTATGCTTTTCCTGTGGCGCGCCCCCGTTCCCAAAGACTTCACAGTGCATACATGGTTGCAACATTTACCATTTGCTTTTCTATAAGAAACGTTTCAAAAAATTAGGATTTGAAGAAATAATATTTTAAATAGGTAGTTTTCCTCACTTTAAAGCCTCCAGATACAAGTGTTGGAGTCTCAAGCACTTATGTAGGTTCGTGTTTTCCGGCATTACTTTATAAATATAAAACTTCCAACACAGTCTGAAGTTGCCTCATTGAAGGTGAGCAATTTTTTCAAACTTATTAGCTCGAGCTGGAAGTCAACTTAGTTGAGACCGGATAGAGTTGAGCACAAAGACTTATTGACCTAGAATCCCCCAAGTTTCATAAAGGACCCCGCACAAACCTTATGGAAAAGTGGTTCCGGTCAAATCCAATAAAATTTTAATATAATATAGCTCATGACCTCCTGATCAAATTTCATCCTTATCACAAAAAAATCGTTCGAGCCGTTTTCGAGTTATAGCCTTTTCAAGATGGCTGAACAAGATTAAATTAAAGACTGAATAAATTTTCACATTTCATTATTATTTTATCATAATGAATAAAATTTCATAGAAATAGTTTATAAATATTGTATTGTTGTGCTACAATTTGTCTAATATTTAACAGTGTTATATTATTACATTCATTTTCGGTATTTTCGACTAACAGATAGACAAAATGCTCCATACTCCATATACGGGTCTTGCCAAATACAATTTTGACATCATTTGATATTTTGTACTTATTTTTTTTTGTACAATAACTAAATACTATACTAAGATAAATGATGAGTATATTCGGTGTTGAAATTCGAATCCTTATATGTATATGTACTTATATAGAATATTTATCATTACATTTTACGATTATTGTTCGAGAATCTACAATATATTAAGCTCTACTTTAATTGAATTTTCATTTTCGTTTCGTTGACCAGCACCAGAAACTAGAAACTCTCTGAAGAAGTTCTGTAGGAGGATATTTAACATTTATTTAATGCCTGGAATACCCCAGATACCATAGTACAGATGCCATATGAGCACAGGTTCCCAAGGTCCTTTGACCTGATTTACACGTACAGGGTGATCTATTATAAATGTCACCCTCTCCTAACTTTTTCATTTGACGTTTTTGATGAAGTTGTCACATACAAAACTTTTAAGAAATTGTCAAAAGTTTTTAACTGAGTCAGTTTTAAGCATACAGGGTGCATCAAAAAAGTGTAACAGTGCGAAGCTATATTATTTCGAATGGAACACCATGTAAATTGTGCACTTATTTGTTAGTCCGCTTTATCCTGATTTAAATGATATATGGTCTGATATGTCTTTCTTCAATAGTTATAGAGAAAAACATGAAAACCCCTTTCAAAGTCTAGGTAATGTAAAGAAAGAGTAAGTTGTTTACAAATAATTTATCAATCAAATGTTATTCATTAATTTACAAGGTGCCTCACGTTGGGCGCCAAGAAATTTGTCACGCTTTTTACTTTATGAAAAGAAATTGAAGTTTCAAATAAAAATAAAAAAATTAAAAAAAATAAGAAAGTTATTGGGCCCAGGAGAGTCTAGTGCCAAATTTATGCCCAGCTCAGAATAAAAATTAATTATTATTAATTGGAGAGTGCGGGGAGGAAGTTATGGGCGCCACTAGCAAAAGGGACAGAATGTGCTAGAATTCTCCAGGCTGTTGTCTAGTTCTCCCAGAACACCAATAAACAATAATTAAATGCAATATTTAATATAAATTAAGAGAAAAAAAAAGTAAAAGAAAATCTATAATAATCCTCGCATATACTTACTTTCCAAGATTAAAAGGATAGAGAAAAGGTTGTGAGCACATAAAGCCAAATAAATATGTACTGAATTGTTTTCTCTCAAATACAAGTTTTATTTCAGTAGATAGGTAGGTATAAAACGTTTAATTGAAAATCCACACTTCCAAAAGAATTACTAGATCAAGAATGATTTCAAATCAGAAGCAAATAAGTCACTAAAATTATCTTTAAATAAAATCACAATACAATTTACCTTCTACCCTTTTTGCAGTACTGTTACTGTATAGGTTTACCACAGTGTCAAGAAGAATAATAATTATGCTCGATAAAGAAAATCACTTGAAATTAGTTGATAATTCTTTCATAATAAATTCAATAGGATTATATGTATATACGGTTATACTTAAAAGTACCTAGGTTACTATAATATACCCAACGTGATCACGTTCTATACTTGAATTATTCCCGATCTACTGTCTTTCATTGAGGCATGAGGTCAATAAATAATATGTAATTACCTGTAATAGCAGGGTTTTAGTTTGTCCAGGTGATGGTCGGATGACACAAAGGAAACAACCACAAGAAAATGCAGGAACCAGCGATCAGCTTAATAAGCAAACTCAGCATGAAGGAATGCCACAAAGTAACACTGGAACCAGCAACAGACTTCTCTAGGTCGATCAATTAATAAAATCCTGAATTATCAGAGTAATCGTGGCACCAAAAGGTAACGAAATGCACTAAAACTAGGCATACAAACACGACGATTATTATTATTTAGGTATCAGTGCGAAAATCCCATAAAATAGTGCAAAATTCAATAAAAATGCACCAAATATTTCATAGTTCTGTTTTTGAAAGACCTCTGGCGCAGAAGATATACCAAATGGTAAACGACAAAATGCATTTCTACCAAACGGTGTACCAAAAACACAATAATTTTGACTTTCATCGTCAATACAAATCTGAAAGTACCAGTCTTTCATGTCTTGGACTGTGAAATATTCCTTGTCACACAGCTTAGAACCAATTTCTTCAGCTGTACTATAGTATTTAGTTATTTCCCAAAAAAGAGTAAGTACAAAATATCAGATTATGTCAAAATTGTCTTTGCAAGACGCGTATATGGAGCAGTTTGTCTAACTGTTAGTCGAAAATGGATATGATGATATAACGCTATTTAATATTAGACAAACTGTGGCATCATTTATGTTGATTACAATATTTATAAATTATTTTTATGAGATTCTATTGATTATCATAAAATATTAATAAAATGTGAAAATTCATCCACCTTGTTTAGCCATCTTGAAAAGTATAATAACTCGAAAACGGCTCGAACGATTTTTTTGTGGCAATGATGAAATTTGATCAGAAGGTCATGAACTATATCACACTGAAATTTTATTGGATTTGACCGGAACCACTTTTCCATAAGGTTTGTGCGGGGTCCTTTATGCACGCTTTGTATGAAATCGAGAGACAGAGTGCTGATCTTGCTCAATAAATAGGTATGATCCAAAATAGAGAAATCCAATTCAACTGCCCACTCTAACAATATATACGAAGACCTCTGTTATATGTATATTTTCAAATCTTGAAGTCATCTTGTGTAGATTTGCTGTAATATAATCGCTTGAGCGTCTCCTTTCGAAGCGAATAAAAGTTTTGTTTGGATGAATTTTAATTATTATAAAACCATTTACACGAATTTTATTTTTCTCAAGTCTCGATCATAACCATAATCCAGCAACGTAAATTATTTGCTTTATTACGAATCAGTCATTCAACTTATAATATTTTATAACAGGACATGAATAGAATCTCTAGGTGTGAAACGATCAAAGTATGGTTGACAAGCTGCCAGTATCCTAGTTAAAATTGTTATGCCTTTGAAGTAGAAGTGTTTTTGCAACCGCAGAAATGTTTGTATAATCACAAACGGTCGATTGTCTGCCTTTCTATACATCGAAGACACAAGAAGACTTTCTTTCCCGATCGATCCGCATTCTGGGTCAGAAAAAATAATAAGGATCGCTCGATCGGCTTCGAACAAACATAAAGCCTCCATTGTTCCACAATTTTTGTTGAATTATTTTTTTTCACGAATCAACAAAATAAGGTCAGGTTGATACGGCTCCGAGAACTCACACACTCGTGTTTTGTTCTCTTGACGTTATAAAGGTTATATTCACATGAGAAATTTTACTTATAGTAAAGAATACCTAACTTAATAAGTTGTACTTCCGTTATATGTCACCGTCTAAAAGTATCGCTTAAGTGTCCCAGACAGCACTTTGTCTGATTTTCGAAAACGTATGCAGCACACATGCATCGCATCGCAAAACATGCACACACAAGATGTGCATTCTCGACGGCGGCAAACTAAAAATGAAACTTTATATAAGGAAAGCTTTTATCCAGCCCCGAGGAAAAATCAATACCGGATCAAGGGCATTTCCTCTTCCACCTCCGACGACGACCCCACCGCTTCGACCCTTCATATACCTCCAACAACCCCGAGAGTGCCTCGCAGACCGTGGCAACAATGCATTGGCACCGCGTGTAGTGCATTCCGAAGGGTTGAACGAGCGCATGGTATAACGTAATTTTTAGACGATTACCCCATACACATACTTGTCAGCATCAATTCAAAAGCGTGGAGTACGTGTACACAATTCTATCGCCTATGAAATCAACCCCCTTATCTCTAGTCATTCTAATTTTGTTTTTTTCATATGAAAACGCAAATCAACTAACAATAATTGCAAACTAGCATCAATAATGAATTTAATGCCGCCACGATAATTTCGGACACTCCTTTTCGGCCTGCCAATTGACCAGTATAGATTTATCCGACAGACAATCGGAGAGCTCCGCCGGCCTTTATATTATTTGTATTTTAATTTATTGCCCAGAGAGAATGTACCGATCGGCGTTTTACAGTTATCTAAGTGGTTTATAACTCTTCGGCGGGTTTCTCTACTTCCACATTCTAGTTTGGCTTGCACGTCAGTTTGTCTTTTTGCGCTTTTGCAAAGCCGAACCCCGTGGGTTCCCAAGCAAATCTATGGGATTCGTTAAACGAAAAAGAAGAGGTTTTGTTGAGATTGAGTTGTTAGTTTGTCGGTACGAGTATTGTGCTTAAAGGAAAGTCATTTTGTGTAATAAAAATAATTTATTTTATAATACAACATACATAAATATCAATATTTAACAAATTATATACTATAACCGCTTTGGCTTCCGCTATCTTTACCACTCTTCTCACTATATCCAGCATAATCTTGATTAAAACCTTCATCTCCACTAGCTTTTTTAAACCCCTTAGCGATTTCATCAAATTTTCCATTATCAACAATATCCTTAGTTCCATACTTCTCACCTTCGTATCCCTTATCTTGACTAGCACCTTTAGCATAATGCCCTTCGACTTTATCATTTTTAGTTTCAAAGTTTCCATGCTTATCGAAATAACCTTTTTTGTCAGCTTTATCATAGAATTTGTGTTGCTTATTAAAATCGTCTTTGTGATATACTTTGTGAAAACCTGTAGTTTTCGAGCCTTTGTTGTGAGAATCTTTTTGTCCAAACGAACCACCTAACGATGTTTTACCAGCAGCATCATTTACATTATATTTACCCGCATTGTCATATATTGAATGCTTATTTCCGCCATTTTGATCGTAAAACGATTTGCTGTCTTGATTATCGTATTTGCCTTTCAGGCCTTTACTAAAAGTGTCTACGGTCTTATAGCCAGTATCAACTTTGTCTCCATGTTTGGCTGTAGAATAATCATTATAGATTTTGCCTACTGAGTTGAGGAATTTTTTTTTGGAAGCATGATCGTAGCCGGGGGCATAGGGGTAAGAATGAACAGGGTAGGTCCTAAAATCAAAAAATAAGTTTGGTTTTATGCTATACACGAACTTATGACAAAAAATTGTAATCTGTTTCATGCATTTGTGAGAGTTATAACTGTGCCACTTACTTGAATTTACTGTAAGAATTCAGATGAGGGTATCCTGTTGGAGGTATTTGATAATTGCCTCCGTTTATACCAAAAGCTATGGGTTTTTCATCGGCTACCTTCAGGTATTCTTTGGTGTATTGTTCCAAAGGTAATGGTGGATGTTCTTCAGCATATCTATAATAAATATTTTCGGAATCAGCAACTTATCAATAGATCATGGTAATACAGGGTCTTCACGTAACCACTCACAAGCAAAGCAAATCTAACTAAAGTCATATTTTCTGACGTTTCAGGTCTAATTACAAATAGAAGTAGTTTCTAAATGGATAATAATTATTATCTTCTAAAGTATTTACCTCTGAGATTCAAAGGGATCATACCCCAACTCTTTTAAAATTTTCAAAGCATCTTCACCATCAGCAAGTTCAAATGAGTACTCCTGCGGTTTACCATCGTCTACGTCATAAGAATATCCCGAACCACTCATAGCTTGATCACTAACTTGTGACCTTTTAACGAACATTGAAGTCTTTTCCATCGAATGCACTATTGTTGGCAACACTAGACACCACAGGACAAACATTTTACTATTCAATAGACGCGAAACTGTAGAAACCGAATACTGATGCAAGTAACTGACACTCGAAGTACTTTTATAAGAATCGTTAACCAAAAATATTTTATCTGAAGGTCGTCATATTGTGCAATTTTACCTTTAACTATTTTTACGCATAATTGGAAACCACACGAATTAAAATGAATGTGCATTGATGCCAGACCAAGCAAGACGAAAACCACGAATATGGAATTTTCTGTCACATTGACCTGTAAAATTTGAGACAAAATTAGGCAACATACATACCCTCAGATATCTTAAAACAGAAGGGTTTGAGCAGCTCATTACCGATATAATTAAATGACTACCTACTTCTTAACATCGTTAAGTCTATGGGGGGGCTATAAACTGAGTCACCTCGTATTGTCGTAAAGTAATGTCGGTCACAATAGGGGTTAATAATCTTATCCTTCCTTTTCTCCTCCGTCCTTTTCAACAACCACAATCTTCGCCGGAAAACTATTTAGCATTAGACGAGCAAACAATAATGAAAACCCCATCGACGGCGTTACGCGAGGCTTGACGCTTGTAAACAATTTTGTAGTGTATTGTTTTTGAAATCGTCCTATTCCGTCGAGGAAATTTGATAATTTTATGGTTACGTATGCAAGTTTGCAGATAAGTGAGTCTTGTAGATGTCAATAAAATTTATTTCAACACTGTCCGATTAACGAACATTTCTTACGCGAATCCTCTTATGATACTTCGATTTTACTATAATTTTCTAGATAATACTCTACGTAAAAATTTCTGATTGATATAAATTAGTCTAAATCGTTTTTAATTCGCTAGATTATTCCATCAAGGTTCCCCAAGATTCCCTTTTGGAATTGTAAAGTGTATGGCATTATTTCAATGTGATTGAGATCATCATTGTATTCTGACTTAAAACTATCCGAAAAATTCTTCGACAACTTGACTTCCACCAATTTTCCTCAAAATTTGCGCACAAGAATTGGCTTCAGTTCATTGCCAAACTGTATTCACTCTCCAGGTTTGGTTGTTTTGCTGGTGCTATAAGGCAGCCAGTGTTTATGAGCTTGCCAAATGGAGGAAAAAATATGGAACTCTAGAGAAAATGGCTTTTCTTTGTTTTTTTCAGGGTCTCTCTTGTTATTTGGATTTTCCATGACAAATATCACATTCAAATGTATATTTAAGTTTTCTTCCATAAATATCACATTCAAAATCAAGTGTTTTTAAATGTCTTGTTTTTAAATCTTCTTTCCATTTAAATATTCTTTTACAAATATCGGACTCATAATCATACGAATGCACTTTTCATTGATTTTCTATTTCAAATTTTTCGTGACAAATACTACACTCATATGGTTATGTTACCACCAATCTTACTTCACTTTTGCAAGTCGTGGACAAAGATCCCCGGAGGCCCCACGTTGGGCGCCAATTTGTGGCGGGCATTCGGTGGTTCAACCTTTATCTGCTCTGGATCGAGGAACTGTGTAAACCAAAGCTGGTTTCGGAAATGTAAATCCTGGATCGAGTAGGTTAATATCAGCTGATCGCTTTTAAGCTCGTTTTCAGAGTAGATTATTCAACGTTTCCGTTTTCATTGATTTTCTGTTTCAAATTTTTCGTGACAAGTATTAAGGTCCGCTCAGAGCTTCCGTAACGTAAGACTTAAGACTTAAGCCATAAGACTTTAGCCGTAAAACTTAAGAAAAGAAAGAAAACAAAAACCAAAACAATCAAAAACCAAAACAAAAACAATCAAACACATGTGGCCAAATGTCAGTTTCACGATCGGCCGCTTTAAGAAAACTTGCGATCCTTAACGAAAACTTAAGCCGTAACGTAAGAAATGGAATTGAACCATTTCTTACGGCTTACGGCTTACGTCTTTAGTCTTACGGTGGCACTATGAATTGTCCGATTGACTTACAGGGTGTTTATTTTTCTTAAGTCTTACGCTTAAGCTTTAAGTCTTACGTTACGGAAGCTCTGAATCCAGCTTTACACTCATGTGGTTATATTACTACAATATTACTTCACTTTTGCAAGTCGTGGACAAAGATCCCCGGAGGCCCCACGTTGGGCGCCAATTTGTGACGGGCATTCGGTGGTACAACCTCTATCTGCTCTGGATCGAGGGACTGTGGTTAAGCTGGTTTCGGAAATGTGATTCCTGGATCGAGTAGGTTAATATCAGCTGATCGCGGTTAAGCTCGTTTTCAGATTAGATTATTCAACGTTTCCGTTTTCATTGATTTTCTGTTTCAAATTTTTCGTGACAAGTATTACACTCATGTGGTTATATTACCACCAATATTACTTCACTTTGCAAGTCGTGGAAAAAGATTGGACAACAGTGACCGATGGAGATTGGAATTGGAAATGGAAAATTCTCATCAAATGTGATCATAGGTGAAGCTATATAGTTCCGGTAATAAAGCATTTACACACTCATTGATTCTGTAAACAAATACAGTGCATTATTGCAGTCGAGGCGATCTGGCTCTCTTGCAGTCGAGGCGAGATTCACAGGGGATTTGCTGGCGTACGTCAGTCATATTTAGAACTCGACTCTCGAAAAACATGGCGAATCCAGAATTGTAGCATTAGACATCTCCAAGGTGTGGCACAAAAGTCTCCTCAGCAAACTTCCATCGTATATTCCTATGGTCTTCCGAACAAATTTTGCTAATGGCTGGTTTTTGAAAGGCAGGTCACTAGATGTGTAATGTACCAAAATTGCCTTTAACTATTTCACACCTATTTTCAGTTTTCCATTCAAAATTCCTATAAATATTCAATTTTTCTCTGATTTTATTGGGCTTTGTTTACATTTTTCCTTTATAAAAATTCAACAATAATTACGGTAATTGCAGATCCTGTAAATTTTCTAATCTTTAATATTTAAATTCTATATTCAGTTGTGAGTAGTTCTTGTTGACGACTGATGATTTTCCCTTGATTTCAATCAATATTTTATTTCCATTTCCAAATAATCAACCTCATGTAAACAAATCAAATATTTCTTATTCTTGGGTTAGGTTTTCCAAATCGTGATCCATTCACGAAGTGTGTACTGCTCGCTCCACGTACTCTGTTTAGTTGCTCAACTCAGTACCAGATTTAGTTCTGCACCCGGTTCCATGAACCACCGGATTACTCTCTATTTTAAAGTGACACTTAAGTCATGTCACTCATGATTTGTGTGCCAGCTGACGGCAGAAATGCAATTCATTTTTGTCAATGGGCCTTTCAGTTAGTAATGTTTTTGGGATCATCGATTCCTTTGCAAGCGTTTACGTTTTGCAACACAAATTGCTTATTCCATGTCGTATTCTTCAAATTATGATTGTTCTAGTGGTTAATTACTTGTTATTGTTATTGTTATCATTAGTCGTCAGCTGTTGTAAATTTTCTCAGATTGGTTGTGTGTAATTTATGGTATTAACAAATCTTCTTAATTTCTTTTTGACATTTGTCGTTACTTTGCCTCATCTCTATTCTTCAAATCTAGAACAGCTAATCAATTCCCTGTAGTGCTGCAATAATCTAGTTATAGTCCTCCCAGGATACCCTTCATCATGACGAAAGAGGAAAGAAGCTATATAAAAGTCTTGCAACAACAAATATTGGATAATTATGAACATGCCTATATTGATTTTTAAGCAAAATCAAATCGAGAAAACACTAGCAATGAAAATTACGTGCATTATTTGCATTCTTTTGCCAGGTGATCTAATCTACATGTCCCATATTAAACTGAATAAATTGTAATTTACTGAACCTATTCACTGAACCAATTTAGATTCGAAAAAAATAAATGACAATATCGCATATTATCTACTGCAATGCTTGAAATATTGGCGAGATAAATAAAACACTTTCCCGAGAAAATTTACGGTCATATCCGTTGGCCGTTTGAAAATATGCAGTCGCGGCACACTGCATCGTGGAAAAATAAAAATTATTTGTCGTCATGAAGGATGATTTAAGAGTCCCAGACTACATTTTATTGTAAAAAGGGAATAAAATGGGGGCGCGTTTATTTAAAAGGCGGGCTCCACCAAGACAGAACGTGGATATTATTCAAATTGTCTTATAAGTTGGGGCAAATTTCGAAATCGAGCGGAAAAATTGAGATAGTATCACGTAATTTTATAAGTAATTTGACAGTCTCGGAAGGAGGGAGATGGAAAATTCGTTTCAGGAAATGTGTTTACCTAAGATAAGATGAAAACGAAGCGTTAATAATAGAGAGGTTTGAGCTTAGAATTACTCAATCGGAAACCCCTCTCGATAAATGAAGGTTTTTAACTTGCCGTAGGCAAAATTTACTACAAGAAAAGCTTGTTTTAATATTTAATTAAGCAGCTTCTGGAAATAACGAAAAACACAATTAAGGTATCTTTGTTTCTCGTCCGTTTCGAAATGTAATTAGAAAACCTTTTTAATCATAAATTTCATTCCGCGAGGGGATTACAACTTTTCTGTTCCAACTACGACGCTGCTTGGTAAGTTTTAACTGAATTTTTTTATCGTTTTGTGAAACGGGAATTTTGAAGGAAAAACGAAGTAACAACGCTGACGGGCTTTCGGTTTTACGTTTCCCATTTTCTAATGTTTTGTTTAACCCGACTTACAGCAAATGCCTATACTTTGCAATTTTACGCTAATCGTATAAAACCAATACCTCAACGTTGATAAGACTTCTAATGAGTAATATTGTTTATCAGTTCACCACACTAACTGGCTATTATAATAATATAGTATTTGGCATTTGCTCTACTTTCCATATCAAACGTATGTGCCAAACTAATCTAATTTTTATTAAATCCAATTATCCATTTTTGTTCTTTATTTTCTTCATTCTTTAATACCTTAACCCCATATAAGCGTGACAGGTATATTCCATATAAAACGTGTTTTATCTCGGCTTCCTGTTGTACACGAATTTTCCTCCCTGCTACCGCTTTTATTGTAGGATTGCAGACACAAAAAGAGGCGAGGAAAGGATAG